CCTGAACAACTGTGCTACACGGGACGCAGAATGCAGAAAATGTCGGAAGAGAGGACATTTTGCAGCTGTTTGTAAATCAGGCAGAGTAGGTGCAGTTCTCGAGGCACAAGAAGAGGACGCTCTTTTTCTGGGAGCGTTGTCCACAGGAAAGAAAAAGAAGAAAAAGACATTGAAAGTGAATGGTCAAGATATTACCTTCAAGTTGGATACAGGGGTGGACGCAACAGTCATCCCAGGTACTGCCACTGTTGGTGAGCTGCGTAAAGAACTGAGCCAGTACTGCCTGCACAGAGAGACAACAGTTGCAGCAGATGCTTCCTCCTTTGGGCTGGGAGGAGTTTTGTCTCAGAAGCAGCTGTCTGGAGAATGGAGGCCAGTCGCGTTTATATCACGCAGCATGACGGACACTGAGCGCAGGTATGCCCAGATAGAAAAGGAGGCGCTCGCGCTTACCTGGGCGTGTGAGCATTTTCAGTCTTACCTGATAGGGATGGACTTTTTGATACAAACTGACCACAAGCCTCTCATCTCCCTGCTAGGTAGCAGAGCGCTAGATGACTTGCCACCTCGCATTCTGAGATTCAGACTGTGACTACTTCGCTTCACGTACAAGATTGAACACGTGCCTGGAAAGAAATTGATCACAGCTGATACACTGTCCAGGGCACCGATTCAAGCTCCGCCTACACCAGAGGACATGCAGCTGGGACAGGATGTGTGTGTGTCCCTCAACTTGATTATGGAGCATTTGCCAGCGTCAGAGCAGAGGTTGGTGCAGATCAGGACAGCACAGGACACAGATGATGTCTGCGGTTGGCCCCTGAGCAGAAAAGCTCTTCCACCTCAACTGCAGCTGTACTGGCAGTATCACCAGGACCTGCTGGTTGTAGACGGACTACTGATGAAAGGCAAAAGACTTGTCATACCTGTCACGATGCAACAGGAATTGCTCAACAAAAAAAAAACACGGCATGTTACATTACCTATAAAGCAGTGCATAGGATTTATAATAAAAGTGTATGTGTGCACAAAAGCCAAAAATGGCACACACAAAAAAAATCGGATTTATAAAACTGCGGGCTTACACACCTGAAATCAATTTTCTCTCTATAAATCACATTCCACCTCGAAATGTGCATACCTGGATCTGCCTCATTTCCGGCCTCTACACAGCCACATTTAACCATAAATGGTCAATGCAAAGCACCTCATGAATGCTGATGCATATAAATGAACCTGCTGATCAATGGATTTTTACAGTGAATCATGGAGAGGAAGGAATCACAAAGCAAGATGGAGAAACACAATTTGATGCCAAAATCGAGGGGCTTGTGAGTGAGGTGGAAGTCAGAAAAAGCATTGGCACTGTGTTGCAGCTTTGGTGAATACAGTTAGTGCCACAGAGAGTAAATGGTAAATGGTTTGTATTTATATAACACTTTTCTAGTCTTGATAACCAATCAAAGTGCTTTACAGACCAGTTTTGCTATTCACCCATTCACATATACATTCATACAGTGCATCTATTAGCACCACTTTTTTTTGAGAACAGTGCAGATAATAGGCAGGATAAAATAATCATGTGTACAGCCTGACCATTGTGCCACCACATCGTCAGGACCACGTTTGAGTCACATATCACTTGAATGTTTATTGTGTGCAAGTGTTTTCGGCTAACATACAAATACTCATTCTCTGAAGGAGCCCTGATAGCAATATTTACATTTGCGAAACCGGACAGTGCTGCCTTTTGATGTTGGCCTGCTCTTCCACAGTGTAAGGGAACTTGATGTCTCAACCACTCAATTTAATAATTCCATCCAAAACTGCAGGCATTATAACACTTAGGGATGGCTGTGATATCCTATAGAATTTAACACAATTATATTATTCGCAAAAGGGGCTTTCAGGCAGAAATTAAAATATTGTATAATTATCAAACACGTACCTGTCCGCTAATTCCCACTGGTAAGAGTCAGTTGCTAGAAACCCCAGAGTGGTTACTATTTGTGTTGGCACCGTGATAGCACAGTTATGTTGGGTTTGCCTCTCTATTTCTGGACCTGGTCCAGTGAATAGATCCATGAGCACAGCTCTCCGGAATCTAAATCGGCTGATTAGACAGTGATCATCATGACCAGGAGATCTGCGTGGTCCCTGAACACCCATTCTCTTATATTTCCACCTATTGGCAAAGTCCTCTAGCAGAGCCAGTGCATCCATCATCCATCATTACGCACAACTGTCACTGCAGTATTTATAGGTTTACAGCAATTGGACTGATTGATCACAACTTGCGAAGAATGTCAGTGCACTCTGTGCACCTGAGAGCAGTCATGTTCACCTCAACGATTTTGTGCACAAAATATATCATATTACAGTCCTACTAAGCCCCAAATCTATGAATTTGAAATATTCAGCAACTCTGCAATGATATTTTACTGTAGTATATGTGCATGTGTAATTTGCTTGAAGTTGTTTTATATCTTTCAAGATTAAAGGGAACTTATGTCACCTCATGACTACATCGTCATTTTCCTGTCTTCTAAATGTTCATACACATGGGTCACAAGTGCGCACATTCTCCCATCAAGTTTGTTTTTATAGATAGATCGTGAGACGCATCTTTCAGACCCCATTTTGTTCAAACGCCTTTCCCGCTGTCATGTCAAAATGTTATAAAAGATGTAGCATAACATATTATGGAGTCCTAACGGCTGCACTTATTATATTTTATTTGCACTAGTAGTTAAAGACTTACCAGCTTTTGTGGTCCTGTGGGCTCGTCTAGTTGCTGACATGAAGTTTAAAACAAAATTACATAAATATTGCAAATACAGTGGAAACCACGTACAGGGATCATATTTGTGTTGGCCAAATTGATCACTATAAATGATTGATTACTTTAACCAAATTGCGCGGCTTCTGTATGATCGTCTCAGAACTTCATGGAAAGGTAAACGCGTTTTTTAAAGGTCCAGTGTGTAAGATGTAGTTGAAAGGGAACTATTCTATTGTAATTTAATGCAGAATAATCCTCATGATGTTTTCACTAGTTTGTTTCATCTAAATTGTATGAATTGTAGTTTTCTTTACCCCAGAAAAGGCCCTTTATATTCAAATAATTTATATTTACATTGAGGGGACCCTGTCTACGGAGGCCGCCATGTTTTTGACATGAGTCCGGCTGGACAAATTAAACACTTTTTGAGTTTTTATGACAACTGAAGTAACCACAGGTTCTCTTTCATGTTTGGAAGGGGAGGGCAAGGTGTGGGGTATTCAGCTGCAACATGTAATTCCAACTAGATATCACAAAATTGTATATACATGTCCAAACATGTATGAAAATACCTAAAATGAACACTGTAAGTGGACTACTTGATTACTAGAACATAATAAATTAAACAGCATTTGTGTAGGAACAATTCCATCCCAAGTTTTTTGATTCATATAAACAGTTAGTCACGACTTCCGGTTTCTAGTGTACTGTCACAATAATCACAAAAAGCTCTGCAAGATGCTCTAAGGAGTAATTACTGTAAACTGTTGTGAAATTATTATGAAATCTGAGACTTAAATAAAGTCACAATATTTATGACAATAAAGGCTTAATATTCCAAGATTAAAGAATAAAGTCATAATGTTGCGAGAATACAGTAGAGAGAATTGAGTCCTTCAGTTCTAAACCAGCCCTTTGCTGCTTATCTTTCCAATTCTCTCTCCCCATTTCTCGCTTATTGTCCTGTCAATAAATGCAAAATGCCCCTAAAAGGAAACAATTAGATTGGTAATCAATGTAAAGGATGGAATTTCAGCATTCCTGGTGGTTATATGCTAAAAAAATACATCTTTAATCTCTTAAAAAATTGCCCCATAGAATAAAAAAAATGCTGCAAAAAGATGCACTGTATGAATGTGTGTGTGAATGGGTGAATGGCAAACTGTAGTGTAAAGCGCTTTGAGTGGTCATCACGACTAGAAAAGCACTATATAAATACAACCATTTACCAT